CTCCAATTTCCAAAAAAAATTCCAGAATTTCAAGTCATAATCGATCACAATTGGTCACAAGGAGTCACAATTAATCGATCACAATTGGTCACAAACGGTCACAAACAGGTCATAAACGGTCACAACCAACACTTGTGACCACCATCTCACCACTCCTTCTAGCAGCAATATTGCCAACGTCACCAACATAGTCAGCAACTCACCACAAATCAACACCATCGCCAACGTCGCCACTAGAGTCACTACCACCGCCAACAACAAACAAAAATCACCACTGCTTCACAACCACCGTGACAGTAGTGACCACCGCCACACCGCCATTACCACCATAGCTTACACCATCACCCCTATTATAATCACCACCATCACCGCCTCATAGCACCTCCACTACTAAAAATAATTGTCGCAAAGAGCCACCTACCACCCCCCCCACCTCCCCAAATGCANAATAAAAAAAAGAATAACGGTCGGCGACGCTGCTGAGAACTCTCAACAGCCCTCGACGGAGTTCTCAGCAGCCCTTGACGGCTGTCATGTGGGGAGAGATCGAAGTGCCGCTGCACAGCGGTGGAGCTGTACCCAACGAAGCAGTGTCGGCGACCTTCCTCCCGGCGGAACTAAGTTTTTGGGCAGGGAGAGAGGGAGAGAGAGAGAGAGAGAGAGAGAGAGAGAGAGAGACGGGTAAAGAGTGATGAAGATAGGGTTATGGATGAATTGGGAATTTGGGGGTTTTTGATAGGTTTAATTAAATTTTTAATAATTATAATTATAAAATATAATTACCACCTGAATTTTGAAATGTAAACATTATCACCTTATTTTTGATATGTAATTTTAAAAAGAAGGATTTTAGGTAATTTTCTCTTGTTGTTTCTATGCCCAAACTAGTCTGACCATTACAGCTCNAAAGTTTGAATAATTATAATTATAAAATATAATTACCACCTGAATTGTGAAATGTAAACTTTATCATCTTATTTTTGAAATGTAATCTTGAAAAGAAGGGTTTTAGGTAATTTTCTCTAAATTGTATATACGTGAGGGCCCAACGACTACAATAACTTGTCGAGTCGCTAGATATGCAACCGAGAGAGCGAGGGGACAATATTTATCCACAAAGGAAACTTCTGCTTAAATCCCTCATCGGGCTCTCACTTCTTGTTGCCCCCATGCCTCCAGGGCTACAATGTGCGTTCTTGCTGCGATTGGGATCTATGCAATCCAAAGTCAAGGTGATAATGAACTTACCAGAACATCACTCACATATTTCATGTCTTAACTTGAAGTGCCGAGATGACATTCTACATTAGATAGGACTAGACGAGCACAATGTTATTTCGAGAAATAGTCTTCAAAATTCATAGTATTAATTCACATCAAAAATCATTTATATCTAACTATATAAGACTAAATAAAAGAAGCCCAAATTGACTAACCTCACCCTTCTACATGGAGGTTTTCATAAATGGCCAATCAACTTACATGTTTTTTAGGCTTTTTATTAAAAAGTCAATTTTACCCTTAATGAAATGGGTTTTTATTGCAAAACATGTCCTCATGTTTTAGAATAGTTTTAAAAACTAA